AATCTCACTGTAATGAATTTCATTTCAGGTTTATCTCAACTTTACTTCCTTGAATCCAACCCAAATTTGAATGAAGGAAATATGTACTGTATGCAGAGAAAAATAACTGTATGACTTCTCTATAAGTACCCAAAATTTCACTAAGCAATTCCACCCAAGGATGTACTCCCCATTTTTCTGAGCCCACTCACCTTCTACTGGCTGCTTATGAAAGCTGTAGGATCCATTCCTAGGATTTACCCAGCCATCTCTAAAGAATGTCTTACACAGGTACATGGGAGGCAATGTGTGGTTCTTAGAATTGGGTGTGAATGACCCGATGGAGTTTGGCCACACTTCATTATACTGAAATATGAAAGTGAAAGTATAAACTGACTTGCAATAATAAAATCTGAACAGCGGACAGCTGATTCGGAGTACAAGTGATAAAATTAAAAGTACAAATAATTGATGTCTTCTTTAAACATTTAATTTCTTATCCAAGTCCTGATCACTTTGACTAGAACATTTTGTCTTACCATTTTCCATGCATGATTTAGTTTCAGATAAAAGTCATCAATGGTGTAGACAGCAAAAATCCCCAGAGGAGCAGGATAGGGCAGAGTTTCATAGGCAGGATCCCAGCCTTGTAGAAACAGGTGCTTGAATGACACAGTTGACTTGATCAAGAAGTTAACATGGGAAGAGCGGTCATATCCAAACCACACCAACTGTAGTATAAAACAAAAATTCTAGTGGTTAATTCCTCAATTTCAATTTATTTCACCAATCTGAACAACATACCAGCTGGGTCAACCCAACTCTGCAGGGGATTCTCACTTAATTGCATTCAGTGTTATCAGCTTAATTGTCTGACACACCTCCTTGATGGCTAGGGGGTAATTAACTTTTGTGTGCGTTCTGCTTTATTACCCCAAGCAGCTCTAGGAGGCATGTCCGAAATTTAAGCTACTAACAGTGATTGCAGATAGGGAGAATCTCCTGCAGAGTTGGATCAATCCAGGTATTGGGATTGGTTAATCTGAACCCTCCCTAAGTGCTTTCAAAATAAAGATTTTTTTTTGTCATTTCTATGCCAAATGTAATTTCATTAAAGAATATCAAATTTATGAAGGCAATGACTTTTTTTAAATTCTACAGTATCCTTTCAAAATTAAAACTGTTCAAAACTTGCCTCTCACTGGTTTTCTTGCTCCAGAAGGCATTATATATCTGTTTATCACAAAAATGGAGCACAGCGAAGTCTTGCAGCAGCAGCAGCAATTTCAAGGAATATAAACAATAAGACCATTTTTAATTGTACAAGTTTCCATTTGTACATGTTTTCATTAAACACCACATTCAAACTGTTATAAGAATATCTGCAATAAAAAATCCTCCAAATAACATACCTGTCCAGTGACTAGCACTATTTTAAGGAGCTGTATAATCATTTTCCATGGAAACCTTCTCTTTGTGCTCCACTTCTGACATGGTGTCATAAAGTGGAATTTCAGTTTTCTTCTCAATGTGTCCTCCATGTGAGGGGTGTAAAAGGAAGCGACACGTTTGAATGGTCTTGGCCTCCCATGAGAGCGTCTCCATGATTCTCTGTTGGAAAGGTTTTCTTGATTTTCATCTGATGGAGGTTCTGAAACTGATTCCAAAATTTATATATAAAAGTTGGAATTTTGTTTAGATGGCAAAATAAAATTTAAGAAACTATGCACAGTTGAATAAGGCATTTCAAACAGGTATCTAGACAACATCACTACTGTACAGGGGCGGATCCAGAGATATTTTCTGACAGTCTTTCAAATAATCTTTGTTAATTCGTCCTCAATTTTTGACCGACTTCCGACAGAAAATATTAGATACCCGTAAATGTAAACTTAAAAATCTGACCGTCTTCCGGAAGACCCAGAAGACGGCCTAAATCCGCCCCTGACTGTAGGATTGAAAATATCATGGAATCTTTGGGGGGTGGGACTTTTGCTGCTTTAAAACATCAACTTTTCTCTATTATTGACTGTTCTTGTTTGTCTTAAAGGCATGTTACATTCTTTTTACCCAACAAAATTTACTTCCATGCATCTGACTCAATTAAGACAGTGACAGCTGACAAGAACTAGAATTTACTTTTCCATTGCAACATAACTAGAAAAATCCTACAGATGGTACCTTTTAGAGAAAACTGTCATCATATAAACACTAAAGTCTTATAATCTTTGGTCCAAGAGCAATCCGTCTAAAATCTTTATCTTTACTTAAAAGGTCCAAATCTTTAAAGATAATTTATTGTGTAAATAAACAGGTATGTAATCTGCCTTCTCAAGTAGTATACTGTGTATTGACCTACATGCGTTTTAAAAGATTAAAGCACAGACTCAATTAATAAAAATATATATTTCCTTTTTGCATCTGAAACTGACAAACTGGAATTCCTTACTAAGATACCATCTAATTTGTGAAATGAATGCAAGCCTACAATAATGACTCGATTTATCAATGGGGAAAATTGTGAATTTTACAGATCTATACTGTTTTTTTTACGTCATAAATTCATAAAATTGGAACATTCCTACTGAGTGATAGAAAAAAGATACTGAAAAGCTGACTACTATACTTATATATATATATTTATATTCTATACACCTCAAGCACCATAAATGCTACAAAAAATATTTTTTAATGATTCTAAAATTATGCATCTAAAAGATCGATCTTTTTTTCTATTAGACCAAGTTGTTACCATACTACATATATGTCAGCCAGCACAGACTGATAACAGATTATAGGGGAGGTTTGTCAGTATTTCAAGCAGGAAATTAAGTTTGGCTTAAGTACATCAGGTGACTGACACTGCCTATATGACTTAGTGTGCTGTGGATACAAATTTTAATTAAAAATTATAATATTAAAATAACCAAATTAAAGCATTTGTATCATCTCAGGCCCGTAGCCAGCAGTTTCAAAAGGGGGGTTCTTTTTCTGAAAAACTTCATGTACTTATAGATAAATTTTCACCCAGAGTGGACCTTTTCCCAGCAAAAGGGGGGGGGGGTTCAAAAGAACCCCCCAAACCCCCCTGGCTACGGGCCTGCATCTTTAGCTCCCTTTTATCTTAAATGATCTTAGCTGTTGTTCTATAATATATATTCATACCATCAAGAATATATACTAGTACCTTGTTGTTGACCTTGCCCAGTCTGGCGCTGTGATCTGTCAATTACTGACATCTCCCTGGGTCGCCTCAGAGAATCCATACCAGAGCTGTTACAGTATCACAGCTTAGTTCCCGTTCCACCATGGTAAGTTCTGGATCACAATATGCTTTCCCAGATAAGTAAAGTCTTCTGGTCTCATCAACAAGATAAAGAAAGTTTTCTAGATAAAAAATATTAAGACTAGTTTACCCTGCCTTTGCTTCACACAGTGAGAGGATCACAAGCACAAGTTATCACTGAAAGTGTCAACAAAACTGACCCTCAGTATAGACCTGTTAAAGTTTCCTTAACTCAGACTTTCTTGACCTTTGCCAGCACATGACATCTCATTGTGTATATGCGTTATCTGCTCTATAGAATTTGCAGTGAGGTAGAACTGTTTGACCTACTTATGAGTGGCATGTGTGATTATGAGAAACAAAATTACTTTAACAGGCAACTGGCGGTCATGAACTTTCACCCAAGATTTTGATTCAATTTCATATCTAAACATAGGAACTGAATTCTAAATCTAAATGTATAAATTTAATTTAAAATTTAAACATAGAAATTTAAATTCAAATCTAAACAAAAAACTTTCTTTCAAAATATCTGTACAGAAAATAAAATAATGAGTAAGAAAAAAAATCACAACTTTACATCAGGTTTTCTTTAATTTATTTTCTCATACTGACAATATGGTAAGACAATAGTGAATGACACAACAAGCATATGGCTTTCCTTTGGCAATGGTCCCACACTGACTGATTTTTTTTTTTTTTTTACAAAAATACTGCTTTTGTTTCTTAAACAAAACTACGTTATACTGAAATACTTATTTTTAAGTTCTCATAATACAAGAAAGTTATAAATAATTGCTAAACAATGTGTTTTCAAATTGTACAAAAATGCTATATACATATGTATATCTTAGTAAATTAAACTCAAACATTGTTCAACCTTCAGTTGTGAAGATATCACATACATATGTATAACATTTTCAGAACCTGAGAAATACTTATTTTATGGGCATAAGTTTGCCAATTTAATGAAAATAGGGGCTATGGTAAGGACTCCATCTTTTCAATGCAGAAAAATTATCAGTCTTTCAAAAACATAATTTTGGAATCATTAAAAAATTATATCATATATTGTATTTTTGTTGCATTTACTGTATAGAATAATACAATAGGGTAGGCTGCTTTTCAATTCTGTTGCAATAGGAATGTTTTAATTTTAAGAATTATGACTGTAAAATATATAAAATCTGAAAATTAATTTTCCCCATTAAAAAGATCAAGTCCATTACCGTACTATTAAATGAAAAAGGAAATATGCTTGATAGTGTATTCATTTACATTGTAAACAGTATTGTACTTAGGCCTCATTGAGACCAGGTGCTACATATTAAGCACATTAATTACTGTAAAACAAATTCGTCCATTAAGCTATGGGCTCATTCCCATTGAAATTATTGTTATCTCCGCCAAGGAGGTTATATTTTCACCCCTGTTTGATTGTTTGTTTGTTTGTTTGTCAGCAACATAACTCAAAAAGTTATGCATAAATTTCGATAGAATTTTCAGGGTTGGTCAGAAATGGGTTAACTTAGAAGTAATTAGTTTTTGGTGGTGATCCAGATCAATAATCAATCAATAAGCAATAATCAATAATCAAAAATAAAAAACTAAGTTATGGACCGATTTTGATGAAATTTTCAGGAACTGTCAGAAGTGGGCCAAGGAACAAATGATTAGTTTTTGGTGGAGATCCAGATCAATAATCAATCAATAGTCAATAATCAAAAATATCGCAAATTTAGGGGTGAAACAGCATTGGATGGAGACTTTGCTGCCTTGGCGAAGGTCTGCACTCTCTGAGTGCTTTTCATTCTATGCAGATTGATCTAACTCCATGGAAACTCACTAGTAAGTTGGAAACAAGAGGAGGCGTGTCATTCAGTTTATCTGTTTGCATTCAGTGAAAGTGCCCACAGAGTTTCTTTGTTTCTGCTGGATGGACCTTTTTGTGAATGACCAAGACAAAGAAATGTACGTCTGTCCATCTTTGGTTGACTAGCCAGACTAGCACAAGCAATACTGATTCAGGCAGCAACACATCTTTTCAGACCAAATACAAGTTCAATTTGTTGTGCGACTTTTCACTAAACTGCTATACTCATCTGGATCATCTGGATTTTGTCTGAAAGTAGAAAAATTGTGGTAAATATGTTGTGTAGAAATTTAATTATTTCCTGATGATTAATGGATATAAAATACATAATTTACTGTACTATGAAGTTCCAAGAGCCTTAAATACCTTTTACAGCAATGATAATAACCCAATAGCTGTACTATGGTGTCCTAAGATCCCTACCTTCTACAACAACATTTAAACAGCCGAGACAGATCACAGCCACCATTGTCTTCTATTCTGAACTGAGGGGAGGTGTGATCCTCGTCTGTCTCATTTATAAACTTAGAAAGATCAGTCTCTGGAAAACCTCCATGCTGGTAGTAATGCTAAAGTAAGGCAAGAAACAAGATGGTTAATGTAGGTTTACAAAAAATTATTATATAATTAAGTTAAAAATTTTAATTACCATCCTGTGGGTACTATCTTACAAAAAAACTCAAATTTTAAATGTTAGTATTTATCATGAGAAAATAAATATAATTTCAGTCTGAACATGATAGATACAAGATTGTGTAAAAATGACAAGAGACACTATAAATACTTACTTTAACTATATCATAAACATTGGTGATGACAGCAATGAACAGACTGAGGATGATGTAGATGAAGACACTGATGAAGATGTAGAGGAATGCACGGCTGTAGTACCAGATGTAGACATTGTCATTACCAGTGATGACAGAGAAGGTGACAAACATGTCATCACCATTGACCAGGGAAAACAGACACTCTGAAGCTGCACTTATGGTACGAAACTGAAATTTTATCAAAAAGAAATAAATAAATTATAAAAGTGAAAAATAATATATATTTTTCAGTTGATTTTATCAACAAAATTCCAGGTATTCAAGAGTTATTATGTAGATTATTCATGTATAGGCAGATGCATGTACATCCATTATAAAATGACTAAGTTCATCATTGAACAATATCTACATATTTAAAGTTGGTAAAAAAATTATAACCGATTCTCTGAGGCTCATTGTCTGTAGGTGCTTACCTTGACGTGATAAGGTCCCAGTACCACCCAACCACAAAATGTGAACCCAGCATAAATTATGAGAGCACATATCAGGTACCGCAGCACATCTGGGAAAGACCTCTTCATAGTTATGATCAGAATCTGACAAATGAAAAAAGGGAAATCTTACTTGGCTGTCATTCTGTTATACTTGTTTAAATAAAGTTACACATGAAGCCAAATCATTGCCACTATACCCAACAAAATGTCATAAGATATCAGTGATTTTAATAACTAATTATGTGACTACTAGCAAAAGAAATACCAATTAAAGAGCATTTTCTCATACTTCAGGAAAAACAACCGATTAAGTGATTAATCAATGGTTTATCATTTGGCATGTAGATCGAACTCACCTCAGTTGAATCGTTTAAAAAACTAATTTTAAAAGTGGTTTGTAGGACATTTGAGGACATTTTGATACATAACTTACATTATATTTTTCAAAGAAATTGAGGTATCTCAGAACCCCAAACCAGACCAGGAGACTTCCTGTGCCCAGAGTGAGGCCACACATTTCATACAGGTCCACAGTCTGAAACACAAGCACAAACACGTAAGACATATTTGAAAACTTTATTAACTGAGACTTGAATGTAGTATTCTTAGATTCTTTATACATGTACCTTGCAATTTGCTTTTAAATGAGAAATGACAGTTAACATAAAATTCACCAACTTACTGGTATGTTTTCCACCAATTATACATGTAAATTGATATTCATCATTATTGTTTATATATCAAATTACATCAAATGATGACAAAATCAATAATATTAAGGAGAAGTTTTGTATTAACAAATATTAATTACGCATGCTCCAAGCAACAGGTAACTGATCAATGTTAGCATAAAGTGGAATAATATAAATATATGATCATCAAGTACAGACTGGAAATATGATTAAAAATCCACTCTGGTAAGAAAACCCTTTGTCAAAGGGGATCCAAAGGAGATAAAAATTTGTGGCAAAAGTATGCAAGTTGCAGGAATTAAGAAAGAAGTTGTAGGAATTGCAGAGGACATTCCTAGCAGTGTATGTTGGAGAGCATGAGAAAATATATAACAATTTTATCACCAGAAAAGGAAAATATATGTACAGTATATGCACTGTATCTGTATATATTTAATCCATATATAACTCTATTGCATTGTGTTATGGGAAAGAAGAAGCCATAAAGTAAATGAGATCTCTCCATGCTAGCATTATAAAAGCTAAATATTTTGAGCAGAAGACACTGGCATATTGGGTGAATTTGAATGAAAATAAGATATCCAAATGTCAAACTTACAGATGGTATGTAAATAAAGCTACCAGCCTTAAAATCAAAATACATGTTAAACATTTAAACAAAATGTTTTTAGTGTGAATTTAGAGAATGCAAAGAAATGATGCCAACAATTTTTAATATTGATATTGTGTAACTACAAGTACTACAACAACAGGCATGCCAAATGTGCCTTTTCCTTTGAAAATGAAGACATATTTACCAACAAAGATATACTTCTGAACATTTTAAGATCTGAAAAACTCACAATTAATGCCAGTACTATTTTGAAAATGGATCCTATAACTGTAATGATGTCATTGATGATGATCATTATAAACCACAGGTTCAGAAACTGCATCCTGTCATCTAGAGTCATTTCTATGCCACGCTGCTTTTTGAAAAACATGACAGTATCCTGAAAGCAATCAATTTTTTTCATTTGGAACTTGGGCTTTGTAATCTTAAAGATTAACAACTAAGTTTTAACAAAATTTAACAAACATATTATGATATATATTATGGTATGTCCCTGGCTCATACCAAATATGCCCTCTTATGGGAACATTTTCTGTAGATCAACAGATATTATGCATATTATTATTATGCATCAAGCACTCTACACCAAAGAGAATCTAAAATTTGAAGAAAGAGATTGAGAGAGAGAGAGAGAATCATACTTACTGAACGCAACCTTTGTGCCCTGTAGAGTGACCGAGAGCATAATATTGTGGAAGTCACAGAGAATATAATGACTATAATGTCATACACAATGAATGTCAAACTAATATCATCCTCTGAAAAATAGTAAGATCACATACTATATGTATTCAATTTATTTAGTTTCACTTATAACAGCAAGAAACTTTTGCCACTGTTAGTCTTATCTGATATTAATTGGTTTGTTTTGGTTACTTGAAAAAATCTTACTGGTGAACACTAAAGATTTCAATCTCATTATTTTTATAATAACAACTTACCTATATTATCTTTTTCAACTTACCTGTATCGTTTATTTCATCTTCTTCATCACATGTAAATGGATTTGCATCAGCATCCAGAGTGACAGGCATCTGTCCACTGTAGGCACTGTTGTCTAGCAAAATCTAAAGAAAAAATATATATATATTGGTGTATTATGCAGTCACCTACTCAAAAACACTGGCATATCTTATAACTTACTGAATATAAATAGAGCCAGTCCTGAGTTTACATGCCAGTACTGTCATTTTGTGAATTTATGAAATTCTCACGAATTCACTACATGTTGGCCAGCTTAGTTGCTTGTAGTTAATTGTCTTTATATTATCAGAGTACATGTAAATGTTAGTGCAAGGCTACTGATTAATGAATAGTTATAGTGAACAGCAGTAAGTCACATTGTAATTGACCAATCAGAGCCCTAGAATCCAACAAGAAGTACTGTATATAGTAATGCTTTTTCGAAAACTGGCATTGATTTAATTGAAGGCTGTATACATACAGTTATGTTGAAATCAAAGCACTCTGCTTCATTTCTTCCAAGATCAAAATTTTTCAGATGAACACTTCTCACAGAAAACTTGAACTCCATTTTGACCAAACTAAAAATCAAATTTAAGTGTTAAGAACTACAAAAAAATTTCAAAGAATGTTTTTTTTTCCTTGAAATATCTTTAAGTTAATAGCATGTACAGTATCAATTGAATGGAAAAAAATTGAGTCAAAATTGTTACCATAATAATGGATATAAAACAGTAACTGATTTCATGAAATAATAAACAGCAATGCAACTCTCTACCCCTCATGTACATGTACATAAGCATGCATAAACAACATTTTTTAATCAGAAAGTGTAATCATCAGGACATCTTTTCAGGGAAATCCTTCAGTATGAGTACAGTATGAGTACACATAAACAATGACAAATTTACAGGGTGGTCCATAAAAAACGACCTATTTAACTTTCCACCTCGATTTTGATATAATTAAGATATTTCCAACTTTCTTTCACCAAACTGTTCCATAAGGATGACCATTTTATCCTTGCAAATTCTGCAGCAATTGGAGACTTTAAAGGTAGTCAAATTTCAAACATCATCTCATGTCCATGTCTCAATTCCCCAGATTTCTTTCTTTGGGGTACCTTACACTTTGAAGACCAGCATATGAAGAGAATTAAGTATTATGGAACAGTCCAGCTGACATGATTGCAAGAGTCACTGCCAATTTCAATGTTCGTGTGGTCACCGTTATTCAACAGCAAGGAATGAGGATAGAGCACATTGTCAATTATTGAAATATCACTACCTTAAAGGTTTCCAATTTCTACAGAATTTGCAAGGATAAAATGGTCATCCTTATTGAACAATTTAATGAAAGAAAGTTGGAAATATCACATGTATATCAAAATTGAGATGAAAAGTCAAACAGGTTGTTTTTTATGGACCACCCTGTATATATTGTCTTCGAATGAGATTCATACCAACCTATCGAAATCAATTGTCTTGTTTATTTTTTGCAAGTATACTTTTATATCATAGGAATATTCTGTGGAGTTGGTTGTGTTGTTCCAGAATTCACAGTCACTCTTTGTTAAAGCTATACATTCTGAAAAAAAATATGTTTAGATGTGTACATCTCACCACCTCAATGATCCATCCATGCAGTGAAAGTCACATTAGCTTATCAATAGCATAAGTTATGTTCAGACCAAACACAGAGAAAAAAAGTTTAAGATACCTGAGGAAATCTTTTCATGTTTCCATCATAAAAAAACAGAAGTAGTCCCCATTTATCTGAGCCCACTCACCTTCTACTGGCTTCTTATGAAAGCTGTAGGATCCATTCCTAGGATTTACCCAGCCATCTCTAAAGAATGTCTTACACAAATACATGGGAGGAAATGTGTGGTTCTTAGCATTGGGTGTGAACGACCCTATGGAGTTTGGCCATACTTCATTATACTGAAATATAAAAGTGAAAATGTAAACTGAATAAAATCTGAAGAGCAGACAGGTGATTCAGACAGCAAGATTCAAATTTAAAATTTCACAAATAATATGGAAACCAGTCCAAAAGTTTAACTCTGTGCCATGTAAGAGAGCAATACAAAAATGACATATGAAACATGGTGAATTTGAAGCATTGTGCCAACTGACTAAAGTTGACAGAACTTAACCAGAATAATATCCCTGGATAAATTCTGTGAGCTTGTTATTCACTGCCACACTAACTTGCCAGTCTCCATTATTCCTGATCCCACTCTCCTCCAAATCTTCCAAAATCTCACTTTTATGCTTAGTCGCAAGACTTTGGGTGATCTTAGATGATTCCCATTGCCGCTCTTTTTTTTTTTTTACAATTTCTTATCTATATAAGTCCTGAACACTTTGACCAGAATGTTGTTTTTTCTTACCATTTTCCATGCATGATTTAGTTTCAGATAAAAGTCATCAATGGTGTAGACAGCAAAAATCCCCAGAGGAGCAGGATAGGGCAGAGTTTCATAGGCAGGATCCCAGCCTTGTAGAAACAGGTGCTTGAATGACACAGTTGACTTGATCAAAAAGTTAACATGGGAAGAGCGGTCATACCCAAACCACACCAACTATAGTATAAAAGAACAAATGAAAACTACAATTAAACAGCAAATTCTATTTTCTCTACCTAAAATTAAAATTGTTATTTATCAATTTAAGAGCTTTGAAACCAATGAAGCTTTTGGTCTACACAGATCAATCTAACTCCATAGGGATTCTTGCTTAATTGCGCATTTACAACCCTCCTCTTGTTTCTAATGTACTTATATAATAAACAACTTTTCTTCTCAATGCCTGTTAAACTGATTGCATGCAGTGAGTGTCCCCATGGAGTTGGATCGATCTACATAGGCTGATAGCTTCAGTGGGAACAAGTCCTTAAAATTACATTTTCACTCTCAAAAAGAATAATTATTTGCAACAAAGTTTCAATGATAAAGTTAAAAAAAAAAAAAAAAACATGTAGGTGATGACCATTTAAAATGCTTAATTGGTCCATTTAATCTTTCTGAATCAAAAATTGTCATCTCACAGACTTTGTATGCTCTGAATGATATCTAGCATAGTTGCACACTAAAAAATTGCTGTAAAAAGTTGCAAACACATTTCCAAAGATTCAAACATATTTTATCATTTTTACTGTAAATTTTTCTATGAAACCCCACATAATATACCTGTCCAGTGACTAGTACTATTTTAAGAAGCTGTATAATCATTTTCCATGGAAACCTTCTCTTAGTGGTCCACTTTTGACATGGTGTCATAAAGTGAAATTTCAGTTTTCTTCTCAATGTGTCCTCCATGTGAGGGGTGTAAAAAGAAGATCCACGTACAAAGGACGGCCTTTGGCGCTCATAACTGTGTGTTGACCTTTGGCGCCCTTGGCTGTGTGTTGTCCTATGACTTCCATGGCTATGACGTGATGATTCCCTGTTGCAAAGGTTTTCTAGGTTTTCATCAGATGGAGACTCTGAAACTGATTGCAAAACAAAACTTTAATAATTAATTATTTTATTTTCCTAAACTGGGAAGAGCAGCACATCTCTGTTCTACAGTTTATCTAACCTTGAATATTCAAAGACAATCTAAAAAAAGAGAATCTAATGAGACTTCTGTTGTCTGAACAACTCCACTTTCCTCTGTTTGTTTTTGTGTCCAAAATGAATGCATTATCCTAGCTATTATAGTAACAAAATCATCACAATTGTCCTACTCAAAGAACCTCATTTTAATGCACATTAGAATAATTTAAAGTGAAAAAGCAGAGATTATCAGAATCATATTTATACAGACATTACTTATGACCAATTTAATTAGGAAACTGTACATTTGTTTTCTATCTTAAATGCCCCCATACCACTGGTTACAAGACCACTTCTTCCTCTTTCCTTATAACCCTAAACCATGACTCAATATGTCCGCTTAAATTAATCATTGCTCCATAATCAGTATATCTGAACCCTTCACATGCATTACCAGACTCCCCAAAAAGCACAGAGAATTGACATACATGTACCAGTAGCTTAAAATAAAGATTAAAGCACAGATAATAAATATGGAAATTCATCTGGATTTACTTTTTATAATTTAAACTTACCATCCACCAGCATACCAAAACTGCTGATAAACTGGAGCTCCTTATTACCCGATCTATGAGACATTTTAGCTGTTTAGTAGCCAAAAAAATAAAACAACATTTAATGTGTGTCAGCACACACTGTTAACAGATTAACTGAGAGCTGTTATCATTTCATGATGGAAAGTTTGGTTTTAATCCATCAGATGATCAAGACTAGTCCATGAAGGCAAAGCATTGTGATTAACTGTCAATTCATTTGTATTGATAACATCATATGCATTGCATGGGACCATTTGTATAGATAATTGATAGCACTTGCATCATGTATATACTGTTGTATTATATGATCTAAGCCTCAGTTATATATCAGACATTTATACCATGTGTCTTTTGCACACAATAACTGACATCTCCCTGGGTCTCCTCAGAAAATCTGCAGTTCTTCATCTGTCAGAAACAATAAAAGCCATGTAAGCAGGCCAATACAAATAATGGGGAAATTGACTTATTGAACTGTAAAGAAGGGATCCGATGCGTGTGTCTCAATATTGTAAAGCTGTATTGTATAGAGAGATTAATCCTGATCTTATAATCTCAGGCATTTCTGCTGACATGGACATCAAGGAGTTGAGAGAATTATTGCAATTACAGGTTGTTATCACATGACCTGACAGTGGAGAAGGGACGCTGGTTCAGTGTCCCTTTAGAGGATCGGAAACGTATCTGTGGTACCTGTGACTTTTTTTTTTTCTTTTGTGGAGTCTGCCTAAAGCAGTATTTGCTTAACAAGTCTGACATTCACTTAATCATCCATGACAATGTTATTAGGTCAATTTTTCTACCAAGTTCAGTATGTGTCTGCTAATTAATTGTTATGTTGTATGTCCTTCCTGTGACTGGCTGGTGTATATCTCTGTATAGGGGTGGGTGGGGGGTCAGGAGGCATAAATACAATACCCAATATTCACACATGTGGAAAACTTTCAATGCTAGTTGTTACCAGCCTCCTACAAGTGAAAAGCAAACTGTAAGCAAACTGTAAGTGTGTCAATTGATAATACATGTACCAACATGTATCAGTATCTACTGTGAATGTCTCCATCAAAATGACAGGATTCACAAAATTCAAGTAATAATGTGAAAGTTCTTTTTGAAATATCCTAAAAGAATTACAAAAATAACAAAATTCCTTCCTACAAAAATGCAGCTTTATTTTCTAATTAATGCCACTGATATGATGTGGATGATTATGATCTAAGAAACATGGTTTTTATTTGGCAATGGTAAAGTACTACCTGGTTTTTAGTGAAAAAATAGGAAAAATGTTCCTTAAAATACAATAATGAAACCTATAATGTGTCAAAACTAAACAAAGTCTTAACATTTTATTTCTGAGAAAAATGCCATTTGTGTCTGGATTGCAAATGTTATCAACTGCCACCAAGTTTTAAACTTTCAGCTATGAATGTGCAATTAACTTAATTTACACCATATTCATTACCTGAGATATACCTCTATTTTTTGCACTGGTTAGCTAAAATTTAATTAAAGATTGTCAAAGAGTTTAAAATGACTGAACAAAAGTGGGTGAATATTGCTGTAGAGACAGGTAATAAAAAGAAAACTTTATTCCCTATACACATTTCTGAAATAGGGAAATTTATGTCCCACTACTCTCAATATCTATAGCTATGACAATGAATTCATCTTATGATAAAAGCAGAACTGGATTTTGTGAGCCTTTTGGAACCTCATGATTTGCCTACTTCACAAGACATTTACAATGTTATATATGACCTCATACCCACACTCTGAATGTCCGACTGCAGCCCTAAAAAAGTACCCTTCAAAGGAGAAAGTGATCTTTTCTAAACAACTGTACATGCAATGCTTGGCCTTATAAATTTAACATGTAATCATATTTATAAATATTACTCTGCTTTCACAATTACAGAGAAATGTCAAACATCGGATGTGACCAATATAACATGATAAAACTCATATGCAGGAAGACAATAATGCAGGAAGACAATAAACAGAAAACATTATCAACATACTGTATGTATACTACCTCATCCATAACATCTGACAAATTATATGTTACCATCAACTTATTTTGCAGAACCATACTCTCACTAGTTTCCAATAGTCTTCACAAAATACTCAGAGCTGCCAACACACATGCAGTGGGTGTTTATTGTGTTATCAGTGACAAAAAAAAACATCCAAAAAAAACATGGTAGTACACAGTTAACAACATGTAGATCATAAATAAATGTGTAGAACTGGTCACCTAGACATGTTTATTTGGAAAAGAAAACCCCTTGAACAGTCTCATGCCTACCAATTCTTAATGGCAGGGCAAAATTTTAACGAGCTATTGACCACTTAACAATAGTGTGTGCTTAACAACATCTTTTATTTCCCTTTAGTTTTGATATTGGCCACAATGCCTGTTACAATGTAACATTCCAATTGTATCTCGGCAACACTGGCCAATGGAAATGTAAGATGAAGTATTTGATTCAGAGAAACTTGAACTCATAAAATATGACTCTCAGGACACAAGTACCTTAGAGAACATTTTCCTTACCAAAATATCAGGCCTGCTACAAATTTGCAGTGAATTTGCAGCAAATTTGCTGGATTATTGCATTCTGGCTGCAAATAAGCAGCAATAAATTTTTTCTTGATAACTCCTGCAAACTCGTTTTTGCAATATGGCTGCAAACTTTTCATACTGCTAAGGGAATTTGATACTAGGAATGAAATGAACAAAAATATGAAAAACGTTTGCCTCCTGAAAATGCCCTTTACAATCTCAGTTAATATCACATGGTTCTGGTGAACTTCACTGCCCTGTAATGTCCTTTACTCTTCACGTTTCCACATTTCTGTTCAATAGGCTGGTCCTCTCATTTGGTTCATCGACATCATGCCTGAAATGAAAATGACACTTGATATTGAAATCTGAGAGTTAAATCAAACCCCAGGTATCAAACTAATAATATCATCAAAGGATAATCATGAAATTCTTACCAAGATTGACAGCTGTCAATCTTTTTGTACCACACCCCATTTCATCCACACTTGACAGAAAGCACTGATTTTTATTAAATCACAACAAAAGCTGACAGGTACGAAAACTGTCTGAATTCTCAGAAAAAAAAGGTTAGGCCTACCTCTTGCAGCAGGGGAGGCAATCAAATAGATTGCAGGCCCTCCTGTCGTCTTCTGCCCTGTAGTGTGGAGAGGTATGGTCCTCATCTGTCTCTGCTATAAACGACATCAGATCACCATGGGGCTGAAAACCACCTTCACTGTACGATTCCTGGAAGTATGGGTTACAAAACTTTAAATTGTGAACCAATCAGAAAAATGGCATTCTAATGTTCAGGAAAATATTTCATATATTGTAAATAGGAAGTTGAGATGTCTGAACATTCATAAAAAGTTTGACGTCAAGTTATATCATGATGAAATATATATATTCAGAGTAATCTTTTAGAATGATATATGCAAAATGTCACATTGCATAAAACAGACATAAGTTTAAACAAATTCGAAGCTTAAAGAATTATTACACATCACAACCATACAAACATAAAAGAATTATAATTTTCATGTGTCAATGATCAAAGTTTGCAGTATATGACTAAATATTATGACTCTGTTATTAAATATTATGACTCAATCTGTTATCTGGTTATAAACATTGCTGCTATCAGAGCAAATTGTAAAACCAAAGCACAACAATAAACAGTGCTTATCATCAAATGGATGGGTGTTATCAAGTCACCAGAGTTAAATAAATGGCACATATTTGAATTAGATGTCATTTATTAAATTCTATCCTCCTATCCTGCTCTAACAGTGTGTAAAGGGTAAGCTCAGGTGCAGAAGTAGTANAAAATTTGATCACCATTCGGCTTCATGTCCATGGGAGCTCCGAGTCCCATAATGAATATGCCAAAAAGATAATGAATATTCCACTCAAATGTATAACTTCCAGAAAAAGAAGCCAATTAGACTGCTTTTCCAACTCATTCTGCATTTTAGTCCTGTGTTTCTTTTTTAAAGGTTTGACAGTCATAACACTGTTTTCCCATAATGGTCATCATGGCAGCAGCACCAAAAATTGTGTTTTCTTCTATTTTGATGCAACATTACATAATGCTTAACAGTATAATGACCATCAATTTTTAATAATAGAATATTAGTAACATGAACATTTAGAAAATGTGACTAGCAAAGGTCTGCAGGCTCATGGAACTTCAAAGTCACACCTTGCAAATGCCAATATGTGAAAAAATTAAATTTTCACAAAAAACTGTTTAACTGCCAGAAAAAATTACCAAACAGACTGCATTGCCTACTGAAGCTGTATTTTAGCCCTATGTTTCTTTCCTGTAAGTTTGAAAACAGTAAGTGACATGGTTTTTCTTAAATGGTCATCATGGGAGCAGTGCCCAAAATAGGGGTTTCTTCAAATTTTGATGCAATATTACATAATGTTTAACAGCACAATAATCATCAATTTTTAATCATAAAATATTAGTATCATGGATATTCAGAAAATGTGACTAGCAAAGGTCTGCAGGCTCATGGAACTTCAAAGTCACATCTTAAAAATGCCAAAATGTAAACAAGACAGCACTGTTCTGAAATGGATTTATTTCCATTTTTAAAATTTTTTTAACATAAAACAAAATAAACAGTTTGTTGCCATCTTTATATGACCAACTAAGAAAATTGATGAGATGGGAAAAATATCAATAGAACAGTGTTAAACGTCCAATTTCCTCCATTCTGAGATTCTGAACATAGTGGATGATTGAATCTGACAAACTGCAATGATATGAGTTTAATTCCATTTTTGACACTATATTACACAATACACGATAACAAGTTTACCATCATTTTAACATAATCAATTAACAATGTTGTAAAGATGCAGGAAATATCAAACAAACACTTTAACGTATCTTATTAGTTAAATAATGAGACTGTTAACATGCCTCAGAATTGAATCTGAGGAAATGTGAAAAAACAGCATAACTTCTAAAATAAAGGCCGGATTATGCTGATTTTCGAACTCAACCTGCATTTTAGTTAGTTTGACTACTCCTGTGAGTATAATGACAATTGGCCTATCTGTTTTTCTTATATCGTGTTATCAGTGTTGCATATATGTTGAAAAAAGTGAAAATACAGCATAACTTCCCTAAAAATGGCCCGATCATGCTGATTTTCAAACTTGACCTGCGTATTATGAATATTCATCAGTTCTGTAAATTTGAATATAAAATGTAAAACGGTATTCCACTTATCGTGTTATCGCTGAGTGCACGGCGACGACGGCGACGACAGACGCAGATGATGGCTATATGTACAGACACATCTGTGTCTGTACATAAAAAAGAGCAATGGGCTTGCCACATTACATAAACCTGTGTTATGAGATGGTGATCACATGATACCATTGTTGAATAAATAAGGCATGTAAAGCCACTTGGGATTCTAACTCCAAAATTGATCAATTTCAATATCAAATATATATTTATATATATAATGATTACAAAGGTTATGATTCCATATTCATCAATATGATCTTTCTTTATTTCACTAAAAATTGGCCAACTGCATGAAATTACCACATCTGTAAATCAATGTCTTTATAAATTCTAAACATGGTGTGCAATGGATTTATATCATTCACCCCCAAATTATCCTCCACTTTGACCATGATCACTTGCACTGATTTTGTCAAATCAAAATGAATTTTAAGGACAGGACATTAATTTTGTTAACTCACCTGAGTGTGGCAGTTAACACAGATAGCTAATGATACATGCATACCTATCAGAATTCTAGGAAGGAACAACAAAGAATATGTCTTACTACTTATATCTATTGAATTTCTGTTTTTTTTTATAAAGTATAGAGAATAATCAGTGAATGTTTTTAGTCACTCAGTTAAAATAAGAATGAGAAATATGTATAAATCAAATTCTGGAAGTGATATTAAGCAACTCCCTGATGCTGGGGTCTCAAAGTGATTACCAAGTGAAAGGTCGAGTTGAGACTGCAATGTTAGTAAGTTGCTAAATCCAGGTTGCAGAATTTGATTTACATGTATATATATATTTCTCTTTATTGAGAATAAAATTGTATGAATGACAATAAAAGAAATACATAAACAATCTCAATCTCTGATGATGAAGGTTAAATATAGTCCTTGCAACAGTGGAAAAAAGATAACAGTAAAATACAAAAGAAAAAATATCATAAGAAATTACACAGCTGATGGAGTTTGTCTTTGGCCAAGTAAACAATGAGGTAAAAAAAAAAAGATGTACTGTAAATACTTGATCTTTTGAATGGGGAAAATTGTGAGTTTTACAGATACTGTATTTTTTAAAGTTATAAACCTTAAAATTTTAACAAACTCTAGTTTTATTCTAATCAGTAAAAACATATGAAAATGCTACAGAGAAAAAAATTTTTAGTGATTCAAATATTATGTATCTGAAAGGTTGATAATTTTTCCCCACTGAAAAAATCAAGTCATTACTGTATCTCAGTATGAAAATGGAATTCTTGTAAAACACATTATCACCAGTTGCCCAGGGCACACCTACCTTTATACACTCATATGCATTAGTCAGTAATGCAATAAAAACATTTAGCACCACATAGATGAACAAGCTGTTGAAGACGTAGAGGTAGACACGGCTGAAGAACCAGATATTGCTGTTGACAANGGGGTTTCTTCAAATTTTGATGCAATATTACATAATGTTTAACAGCATAATGACCATCAATTTTTTATCATAAAATATTAGTATCATGGATATTCAGAAAATGTGACTAGCAAAGGTCTGCAGGCTCATGGAACTTCAAAGTCACATCCTAAAAAATGCCAAAATGTAAACAAGACAGCACTGTTCTGAAATGGGTTTATTTCCATTTTTAACATTTTTTTAACATAAACCAAAATAAAAAGTTTGTTGCCATTTTTATATGACTAACTAAGAAAATTGATGAGATGGGAAAAAAATCAATAGAACAGTGTTTATTGTCCAATTTCCTCCATTCTGAGATTCTGAACATAGTGGATGATTGAATCTGACAAACTGCAATGATATGAGTTTATTTCCATTTTTGACACTTTATTACACAATACACGATAACAAGTTTACCATCATTTTTACATAATCAATAAACAATATTGTAAAGATGCAGGAAATATCAAACAAACACTTTTACGTATCTTTTTAGTTAAATAAAGAGACTGTTAACATGCCTAAGAATTGAATCTGAGGAAATGTGAAAAAACAGCATAACTTCTAAAATAAAGGCCCGATTATGCTGATTTTCGAACTTGACCTGCGTATTATGAATATCCATCAGTTCTGTTAGTTTCAAGCCAAAAGGTAAAACGGTATTTCACTTATCGTGTTATCGGTGTTGCATATATGCTGAAAAAAGTGAAAAACAGTGTAACTTCCCTAAAAATGACCCCATCATGCTGATTTTCGAACTTGACCTGCGGATTATGAATATTCATCAGTTTTGTAAGTTTCAAGCCAAAAAGTAAAATGGTTTTCCACTTATCGTGTTATCGGTGCTGCATATATGCTGAAAAAAGTGAAAAAACAGCATAACTTCCCTAAAAATGGCCCGATCATGCTGATTTTCAAACTTGACCTGCGTATTATGAATATTCATCAGTTCTGTAAGTTTCAAGCCAAAATCAAAAATGGTTTTTCACTTATCATGTTATCGGTAAAAGTGCACAACGGCGACGACGGCGACGACGACAGACGCAGATGATGGCTATATGTACAGACACATCTGTGTCTGTACATAAAAATAATAATAATTTACTCTACTTGAATATACATTTGCAGATGCTTGCATGTCTTTTATATTCAATGAGATCGATCACCTGAGGCTGCCCTAGGTGTCACTGTCAACAGTGATTGTGGACAAGACTAGTAAAAATTGTTACAACTGCTGACTTATTTTAGTGTTTTTGTCCCATCTCAAAATGTAACATTCTATATCAGTGTATATATATGATACATGGTCACTTATCTGTCTTCTCTAACACATTTTTGTCAAGCAATATTTTCAATTTCTTGAGCTGAACGTAACAAAGCTTTAGATCACTGCTGTGACCTTCCTTGGGATGTGTTCCTCTGAGACACCACTTTTCAGTACTCTCTCAGTGAAAGTAATTTTTTTTTGTGTCAAAACAGACTTACTTGGTTTTCAAGTTCAGTGCTGCAAAAAGATTACCTTACAAAACACATTTTGTCATATTTATAATCATTAATCAACAGATTCTTCAAGGGTGTATTTGTCAACGGTAATGTTGGTCAAAATAAACAACATTTTTAAGTAAAAAATGGTCTTGAAAAGCTTTTAATGGCTTTTAATGTTTTGTTGTTAATAAGGTTTACATTTACTGCATTAAAATATTTCAAATTCTCATTCAAGTGAAATGTATTTCATAATAATCTGCATGACTTTTTAAGAACTTCCACTGACATAAAATATCACTATTGTAAAGTGAATACAACAAATTTGAGATTCTGTGAACCAAGGCCAGGTAAAAAGTTCAACAAGGTCATAACAATGAAATATAAATTTATTCAAAAGTTGGGTTTTGATTGCATTTAAGTTAAAATAGGAATGTTAATTCTACAATGACAAAGCAGATATATTGTACTATTAGGACATAAATTACCCTTAACCAAATGTTTCTAAGACCCCATTCCCATACCTAGATTGATCTAGCAGGAAGGACCCACCTTAGAGGGGATTCTCCCTAAGTTGCATTCAGCTTCATCGGCTTAGCTGTATGGCACACCTACTGAAGCTCCTTAATGATAGCTAATTACCCCCTAACAGCTTTAGTAGATGTGCCAGACATCAGAGTCATGTAAGCTGAATGCACTTTAGATCCTGCTAGATCAATCTAGGAACGGGATCTTAAGTGATTTGATTTGTCCATATTTGCAACTGCTCGAATCCTGTGATATGTCTTGATCAAACTTCAAAGATATAATGGATATGTGCATTTTCATTTACAATTATGAAATGTCATTTGTCATAGATTTTCTAATAACTCGGCATACCTTAAAACTTATTAAACAAGTTATCACAGTTGAGTTATATAAAGCCAATCTTTAAATTCAGAGCTTGAAAATGATGTAAATCTTCAGCCTTAACCACATTCAAAAAAATAAAAGCAAAACGATTACAAATACAGGAAGGTAGAAAAACCTGCAGTTCAAATATAAAATTATTAAAAAAATAGTTTCTGAAGCATAATTATAAACAAAACTTTTGTACATAATATAAAAGACCACAATCATGAAATAAATGTTTATACTAATACTGTAACATTGCCAAACTGATATGAATTTACCAGTACATCTCATGCCACTACCAAATCTACAATTCCTTAGTTCTCTAATTAAATGATTATATTAGTTATTTAATTAAAACCACTATTTATTACTATTTGTATTCTGATGTAAACTCTCAAAGGAATGTATCGGTAAATATAATATTCGCAAAGGGAATGCTACAGACTATATTTCCAAGTCATTTTGTTCCTTTAGTCATAATACTTCCATATAAAACCCGACTTATGAATAAGAAATTGTCTAAAATTCTTCAATCTTCAATATGGCAAGCTTAATGTTAACAAAACATTTCAAGAGGAAAACCGTGCCCAGTTTAACAGTGAAAACAGATTATAAAAATCTAAAAAGGTATTTCAATTCAAAAAGGTGGCAGACACATGCAAAAAGCATATCTAGCTTACTTTTAATTTTCTGTGAACAACCACTTAGATGCGTTTCAAGCCCGTTTCATATCTTGTCACCTAACCTGACCAAATGCCAATAGATAGTTTCAAATAGCATAACTAACAGTAATAGCAAGGGTATTGTTTTTCATTTCCCAAAAATTGACATTTGTAATGAATTTTTTCTGGCTTTTCTCTGTGCTATTTAAAACCCTTTTAGGCCATTCACATTAGAAAGTTAACAGCGGTCAAGTTAACTTCGATCGAATCGGGGTCAACTAAACCGAGATTATTTGCGTTCACACCTATACTGGCAGCAATCAGTAGCGATAGAATTTCAGCAATCGTACGTCCTGTTAAAGCAATAATAACTCTTCGTTTCGGCCAAAAAATGAATTTTCCTGGAGTTAACAACAATTTTCCCATACTTACCAATGGTTAATGAATCCATTTTTACATACAAAGTTAGTCCCTGGTTTTTTTCTAAAAAGTTTGGTATTTTGTTAAAATCTCTTAAGAGATTTTAACAGAGTATAGACATCAGTGGAGGCCACGTGGTCTAAAGACAAGTTCAGATATCAGAATAAAAGCTATAACTGCTGTTTTTGTGGTAAAACAGAATATATTATATTTCTATGAGTTATTCACAAGGTTTTTATTGTGAAATATAGATATCATAGGAAGAGTTATTATCCCTTTAAGCATGCGCTCTATTGTTCGGATAAGTAAAAACCTGACCCTTTACATTTAAATTATTCTATTTCAGATATATGAGTTGACCGCATAACGGTGACAAAAGATACTAATTCTACATGTAGGCACGGTGATACAGATAACCTAAAGCCTATTTCGTGGCAGACCGTTTTATTCTTGGCGCTTCCTGCTAATTTTCGTTGTACCTCACTCTCTAGCCATATGGCAAGGAGGCCCTAGACGGCATCCTCAGACCATGGTACTCTTGCTGCTTCTCATACTCATAGTACTCAAATTGCTGCCAGGATTTTCTTGCGAACAAGATCAGTTGATTAATTGCCCACTCATGCGCATGCATTCCATAGGTAAACATCTGTTCTCGGATGTAACCCAGCTCCAGATCTGGGTTTATTTCGACCGCGGTCAGTATTATGTTGTCCGTTCACATTAGAAAAGTTAACCGCGACAGGACCGAGGTCAGGCCTTGACCGCGGTCGAAAGTGCTAGTGTGAATAGCCTATTAGTTGTTTTAGCCAACTCGTATTTGAATAATTCCTGGTATGCTAGTGCATGCAACAGTAATGCGTTGTACT